ACTTTTGTTATGAGGTATATAACTTTCCCATTGACATAGATAATGTAATAAACACTAAGGAAACTTATTCTAAATTTAGTAATGACATATTGTAATTTAAATAATGTAAATTAAATATTGTAATGGGTGAAAACTGTGCCAATCACAGTTTTCACCCATTACAATAGAGTACAATAATAATACAGTTTATTCTGTAAATAAAATAAATGACGTAGTGGAGTAACTTGAAACAGTCATGCTCGCTATAAAGTTCAAACTTGTGGCGGCGTGATGGGCCGGGTCGATGTGCTCCCTCTAATATGGTTGAGTGCAATGATGGCTGGCTCATCCGTCATACTCGTGTACGGGTGCTGCTTGTGGGGACTGGTCTGTTCAGGTTGCGAACACTGATTAGATTTTTTGATTTTTTTTTATATAGCATATGCTGGTGGTCACTCTATTCTCCCAAATTTGAATTTAAATAAAATAGTATTATTATAAATATGTACAACATTAAAAAAAAAATACGAGCTGAGTTTCTTGTCAGTTCTTCTCATCTCGAAATCATTCCGAACTGACGGTAGATTTGACATATCATAAGAGTCTGTAATAGACCTACATGAATAAAGATATTTTGAATTTAAAAAAAAATTGAATTTATTTTATATATTACTTTATGAGCATTCGTCATCCAACACATGGAAGTTTCCGCAACCCTGATATCTTGTGACATCATGGCTTACGATAAAAATATAAATATTTTATTATTATCTCCGTTGAACGTTGGTTACGTCACGTGTAACAGAATGCCAGCTAGCAATTTGTCACTAGGTATATGCCGCTGCTTTGTCCACCTGGAATGACAAGTGGTCAATGATGAGGTATGCTAACAATACGAATCTATTTAGCTTTGTCATACAAAAATTGTAGCCAAACATACAAATCATTCAAATTTTGTATGTTGCAACAAACGTACAAAACTTCTCTCTTGTTTAGAAGGCTTTCATATTTATATATTACTAGCTGTTCCCGCGACTTCGTCCTCGTGGAATATAACTTTATTTTTCTAAAATAAAAATAGCCTAAGTTACTTGTTATTACGTCAGTTACCATCCAAAAAAAGTCCCGGCAAAATAGGTCCAGCTATTTCAGAGTATAGCCGGAACAAACAGACCGACAGACCGACAGACATAAATTGTAAAAAGTGGTTTTTTTGGTATATGTACCGTATTTATATTTATATGCATGCAGTAAAACGGTTATTTCAATATTACAAACAGACTCTACAATTTTATTTATGTGTATAGACAAAATCAAATCACAATATCTTTATTCATGTAGGTCTATTACAGACTTTTTATAATATGTCAAAGCTACCATCAGCTCGGAATGACTTCGAGATGAGAAGAACTGACGAGAAACTCAGCTCTTTACAAATAAATGTTGTACATGTTTACAATAATACAAATTCATTCTTTTATACTACTGTACTGCGGATGGAAAATTAATTTTTTTTCGGACTACTCTAAAGCTTTCGAACTAAGAACTGACATGAAACTCAGCTCGTATTCTTGCTTTATATGCATATGCATATAAAAACGGTACATAAACCAAAATAATATTTTTTACAATTTTTGTCTGTCTGTTTGTTCTGGCTTATCTCTGAAATGGCTAGGCCGATTTTGACATGACTTTTATTGCCAGATAGCCAATGTAATAAGGAGTAACTTAGTCTACTATTATTTTTAGAAACATTCTTTTATTTTAGAAAATAGGATACTGTTTTCTTAGAAAAATTCTTTTATTTTAGTAAAGTAGATAAAATTTAATTCCACGCGGACGAAGTCGCGGGTACAGCTAGTGATTAATATTTCTCGAGAGACAATATAAGACTTCAAACCTAAATCCTAAAGCGAGTGAAGTTAAATTTGAACATTTTCCAAATTATTTTGCATCAAATATTTATTGGGCTTTTGCCAATAGTGTCTTAATCAATATTAATTGTGACGTAACTTTAGTTTAACGTAACCCGAAGTTTATTCGACCTATGGTCACTCTATTCTCCCAAATTTGAATTTTAAAAACTATATTTATTGTAAACATGTTCCACTATTATTTGAAAAAATACGAGCTGAGTTTCTTGTCAGTTCTTCTCATCTCGATATCATTCCGAACTGACGGTAGATTTGACATATCATAAGAGTCTGTAATAGACCTACATGAATAAAGATATTTTGAATTTGATTTTGAATTTGAATATATAATGTTCTAGATTGTAAAACTTCGTTCAAACGCCTATTTTTTTGTTATTCAAAAGATTCCATAAATTGGACATCTGTATAGAATAGAATAGAAAATAATTTATTCAAATAAACTTAATTTAAGCACTTTTGAATAGTCAGTATGCGCGATGTTAGTACTATGAGTATTAATAATCAAACTTATTTGACATATTTCAAAATCATTATATTCTGACTGCAATTTATAACAATTAACAGACGTGGCGACGCAAAACTGGATTTCCATAGCGTTATGTCATATGGACATCTTATGAATAGATATAAAAATCATTTATTCAAATAAAGCTTACGTTAAGCTATTTATTGAATAATCATAACAATTTGTTTTTTATCTACCACTCGTTCGGAAAGCTGTCTCGTCACAAGAAGAACGAGCAAGAAACTTGTGTGTTGCTCTTTTAAATAATCCTTGTAAGTTTACATTTACAAGTCGAAACGTGTGAATACAAACTACCAACCAGCACTAATTTTTTGGGTCAAATATAAATATGCAATAAGATTAAATCAGTCGTAGTGATAAGAGCAGACCAGTCCCTACAAGCAGCACTCGTTTTACGAGTATGACGGATGAGCCAGCCATCACTGCGCTCGACCATATTTTAGGGAGCCCAATGACCCGGCCCACCACGCCGCCACATGTCTAGACATTTTATTGAGCATGACTACTCATTCCACACGACCTTTATCTTTACATTACATTGTATAAAACAATGAGTATGATTGTTTGTATCGGTCTGGGTGTTTTCTATGTACATATATTATATATGTATTTACAAAAAAAATATCTATGTATTTGTATCAGTTATTTAGTACCCATAACACAAGCTTTAGCTAGCTTAACGTGGGTCTAGATGGCGCTGTCCCGGCTTTCCTTCTTGAATCACTCTATCCATTAAAAAAACCGCTTCAAAATGCGTTGCGCAGTTTTAAAGATTTAAACATACATAGGGACGGACAGACAGCGACAGCGACTTTGTTTTATACTATGTAACTAGCTACTCACCCCGGCTTCGCACGGGTGTACATTATATATTTATTTATTATACATATAAACTTTCCTCTTTAATCACTCTATCTATTAAAAAAACCGTTTCAAACCCGGACAGAAAGCGAAAGCGACTTTGTATTATACTATGTAATGATTAATTTTAATATACCTCTGCATGTGTAGCTCAGTCTCACCTATTTCAGCCAAGCAGCTTGCTTTGTAAGCTGTTTCGGTTGTAGGGTGCAGATTAGGCAGTGAAATTACAGGGTAAGAGGCGTGACATCTTAGTACTCTGGAATACCAACGTATGAGAGGAATCGTGGTTAGTAGGTACACAATCTTTATTCAAATAAACTTAATATAAGCACTTTTGAATAGTCACATTTTTTTATTCTACCGCTTCACTTATTATAAGTGACGGTTATAATTTACCATCAGGTTAGCCGTAAGCTTGTTTGCTATTTCAATTATAGTAATAATAATATAATAATAATCTCAGGACAATTCACACAGCGCCATCTAGACCCAAATTAAACTACCTAAAGCTTGTGTTATGGGTACTAGATAACTGATACAAATACATAGATATGTTTTTTTTTTCGTAAATACATACATATTATACATAGAAAATACCCAGACCGATACAAACAATCATACTCATGAATACAAATGTTTGTGTCGTGCGAGGAATCGAACCCGCGACCATCGGAAGTAAGGCGGTGTGCTAAACCGCTAGACCACCGAGGTCGTCGCTCAATTATAAAAACTTATTTGCAAATTATGAATGTATGCATAAAAAAATACATATTGATCAGCCTACATGTAGGTCCTCAGACTAGAAGCCATGTGACTCGTTGGTTTTTTTTTATGTGATGTACATATATCTATCTATCTATATATATGAAAATGAATTGCTGTTCATTAGTCTCGCTAAAACTCGAGAACGGCTGAACCGATTTATCTAATTATAGTCTTCAAATAATCGTGGGAGACCAGGGAAGGTTTAAACGGTGATGAAATATGAAGAAATTGCATGTAAAATAGTAAAAACAACAATTATATTTTCCCATACAAACTGCTGATACCTGTCAAACAGGGTGCGTTCAGAAATTTATTGCGTAACTAAACTTCAAAAAAACCTTTGACATATTTAATTTTGAGGCGGAACGGAGTTCGCGGAGTCAGCTTGTTAATTATTATAATTACAAACCATCGATGTATTTATGAGAAATATCGACATCAAAAAAGGTCGATGTTTCAATAGAAATAGAAATAAAAATAATCTTTATTCAAATAAACTTAATATAAGCACTTTTGAATAGTCACATTTTTTTTATTCTACCGCTCATTCGGAACGCAGACTCATCACAAGAAGAATGAGCAAGAAACTTGTGTGTTGCTCTTTTTAATAGATGTTTTATTTATATAAATAATTACAATAATCAACATAGAAATCGCTACGCACTCATTATTAGTGTAATCTGACAATATTGTCAGTGCTATGGATTTTAACTTTTTCTATAAAAACATTATTATCGTTAACGAATTCTTCAATTTTATAGTAAGCCTTTTGTTCTATGGCTTGTTTTTTTTTATATACTACGATGATGGCAATCAAGTTTATTGTTCTTATTAATAAATCTGTGTAAGATATCACATTAAGTCCACAGAAAAAAGACAAGCACTATTGTTTTTTTATTAATAATTGAAAGGTTAATAAATTTGTTTTCCAGTTCTTCTCGTGTCCTGGTTCGGCGTGGACCAAGTAAAAGCTAATTCCTGCATCAGAACGGGTAATAAAAAATAATATAAAACTAATAAAACCAATATGTATCTATGTTATTTTGATAGATGTTAAAACGTTTAGATTTGTGTTGTGATAATCAGCTGCAAATACTCATCGACGGTCGATTTAACTTGTAATTGTACAACACTAGTTTATGACTTAAATGTGTTATTAAAATAGTGATGTACATTTTTCATCGATTGCGGATTTTTATCGATGAATGTATTTGATGTACATTTTTTGGCGATTGCGGATTTTTATCGATGAATGTATTCGCAGCTATATATGTTTACTTTGATGTGTCTGAGTGTCCACAGGAATGTGTGTTGCAATGTTTCGAGGAATGGGTAATATTGCATGCAAACCAAAGAATTTTAGTTATACACATTATACTGGAGACAATAAATACAAAACATATCGACACACTCAATCATTACTCCTGTGAATAACTGACGTTTGTTTTTCAGAGTATTTCTAATTTCTTTTATCGATTCACACAGCAATACAACACTAACCACGGTAGCATTTAATTCGGTAAGCCTCTATGGAAACATATTTTTTTTTTTAGAAAAAAAAATGTTTCCTACGTTCTACTTCTCTGTATTAGTACGTTTTCCTTTTTCGAATCCTTCTAGCCAACCCTAGCCCAGTCTACGGAAGTTTTTTGTTTTAATTATAAATCTTAGTTATCAGTTATTTACAGGATCCTTTCTAATACTTTCTCTATTTTCTTGTGATACACTCTATTTAGCAAACTGTGTAGATATTATGTACATTTTTTCTGATATTTATTTTCTTTTTTACTAATTCAAGCATGGATTTTCAGCATTGTGGGCTCTAAGTCTCAGCCCCCTAGTACAGGCGGAATGCCAAAGTAAGTACTCGTTTATTACTAAAGAAACTAAAAACTTTTTAATATTCACAAACAAAAAATGCTTTTGCGCTTCGAAAAAAAAAGCAAACGATATAATTTTCTCATTAAAGCGAACACATTGCCAGTAGCTTCTTATTCGTTGGCTTATAAATATTTGAATATTCCTTTTTAAATTTGGAATAATCGATATCGAATAACTTTATTCTTTAAAATGCATACAAAATTGTCTATGAAAACAATATTCACATATTTACACTTTTTTTTTCACTTCTTATCATCGAAACAATGCCGTAGACTGGGTCCATTTAATTGCAATTATTTTCTTTAATAGAGCATGTTTTATGTTTTATATACTCTATGTATTATCTAGTCTGTAGTTTCTCTATTCTTCTGTATATACGCCAATTTCATACACTATTAAACGTACAGAATGTAAAAGTATTAAATACCTTGCAAATGTACAAAAATTTTAAAGAAACTGGCGTATATTTTAGAACTACTAAATATTTAAAAATAGATATACCTACTTATTATGAACACTAATACTTCTAATAACTTACTAATACACAAAATATAATTTACAATAATACATAATGAATATCTTATTGATTCCTTCTTTTATACTCGTATTTATTACTTTCTATAGAAGAATATTTATTTATGTTTATCGATAACAGCACACAATCACAAATAATTCACGTTCACAAAAAAAAAACAAAATAATTACTACTCTATGGTTTGAAACCATTGCAATATAGGCATACATTGAAAAGAACAGTAATCTAATTTATAATTTATTTAATAATGAATACTTCTTTGTTTTTAATTATTTCATTTACATAATAAATTCAATTTTATTTTTTTATTTAATATCCATCCTATTAATTCTCCTTCCTTCTATAATTATTGGATTTGAGAATCGACAAGAAATTTAAATCTAGATCAATTGTATAGTTACAGACTCTGCTTAGATTGGTACTAGATGGCGCTGTGTTAAAATTATATTATCTGTCTCTTCCTACCTATCCCACACAGTGATGAAGACAGGTTTCCTTGCATATCTTCGTCACTTCACTGTGTCCCGGACACCGTCCTCAGAGATTTGCTCGGTATAGCTCTAGCTGTATAGCTATATTTGTCTACTATATTAAATGTATTTGAATAAAGATGAATATTTCTCATAAGATGACCTCAAATGAAATTTAGTACAAGAGCTTGTCATAATCTTAAAATTACATGATGTGGTGCCACTTTTAGATTTTATTCGTGGAGTATCTAATAATAAGTGTCGCTTTGAAATAGAGACACCGTTTGACGCCATCGAAATTGGGTATTCATGCTTTAATCGAGTAAAAAAAACATATAAGAATTTTTTTATGCGTTAATTGAGTAAAATAACGTATATTTTATAAATATCTTATACTTTAATTGAGTAAAAAACCTATATTATAAAAAAATTATTCTTTAATTAAGTAAAAAACCTTTATTATAAATTTGTTATGTTTTAATTGTGTAAAAAAACTCATATTATAAATGTCTTATGCTTTAATTGAGTGAAAAATCTATATACTACATTTCTACAATAGTAGGCTCTGTTCTAAACAATTATATTGGGTACCTCTCTCTTAATTATTTCAGCAGCTTTCTTTGTGAGTATTTCCCTACTCAGAAATAATATCTGGAGTTCAGCAATCATGTCAAGTTCACAATGAGTGATATAATTAGAAAGATTTTTATTTATTATTAATGGGTTTGCGCTTGGTCTTACCTCCTCTGATGGGAAAAGATGGTTAGATCTAGGATGTAGTGCGCTTACTCAGAAAATAACTATTCACCATAGACCTGAAGAATCCGGGATTATATTTCTCCGGGAACACGAACGCTGGAAGCGTGTTCCACTCCTTGGCAGTACGTATTAAAAATAACGATGCGAAATTTTTTTTTACTTAGAGAATATAGGTCCACATCTCCACTAGAGATTTACCTACGAACTGTAATGTCTTCTGACCATTTCTCTAGCTAAATGTTTTATTTAAAACAACAATTTAGCTAGAATAATGGTAATATTGATTAAGGAAAATATTAGAGCAATTATTGTAACTTGTAGATTACATAAATTGCTTTTTCAATAATAGTATGTTATTACTGCAATGCGATGTAGTGGAATAAAAGACTGCATGTGATACTTAAGCATATAAATAGAGAATTTCTAAATATGCTCATAACGTAGCTATTATCACATAACCCATCATTTTTCTTCTATTTCCATTTATATAAATACTTTTTAATCTTATTTTATTCAATAATATATATAATAGAAAAACATTATGTTATCTATGAACTCGAATTACGTAAGTAAAGAATACTCATAATTTTTACACTGCTTTTAATATTGCATGACCTGTAACCGTTAATGAGTGGGTTGTTATCGATAAATATATAAATTTGTCGTTCGTTCGTGAGTATAATAGTTGATTTTGTAGATCTATGACTAATATTTTTATGACTATATAACGGGAAGTGTGTTGTACGGCGACTACAGTCCTGTTTTGCTCAGCTCAGAGTATGCGTTTCTGACAGATCGAATGGACGATGTAACTTTGAACGACGTACAATTTACAGCAATATTTTAAATATGTTTTATTTGCCTTGTTAACGAGTGATAACATTAAAAATTTAATCATTATTCCAAATTACAATAAAAGTATTCATTTTGGGCTAATAACAAATATAAATAACTAACAAATTTAAAATCAATAGTTTTCAACAGTCAAACCAAATCAAACTGCGCTGTTTCAAGGTTATGTCAACTGTTTGTTTTTATAGTGTTGTGACCACTTCTCTTTAAAAGTTGAAAACATATTAAATTAAATAAATTCCCGTACATATTTATAAAAATATTAGCCTAAAAAATAACATAAGTTTTAAAATTAATATAGGATTATTGACTCTAGATTTAAGTCCCTAATTCCTCTACAGTTAACAAATTACTATTTCTTTCTAAATAGTTTTTTGCACATATTACTTCTCAAGTATATGGTTATTTACTAAATAATTTGTAGAAATTTTAAAATAATACATAGTATATCTTTAGTTTTGTATATATATATATATTAGTATATCTAGATATATATATATATATATATATATATTAGAAAATATATGTATATAAACTATAAATACTAAATGCAGGTAAGTGGTTTAGCTTTAGAAAATGTCACTACCATTTTGATGCACGATTTCATATTCAATTATATTAATACACATATATTAATTTATATCCAAAAAATATCGTAACTCGTATATTAATCAGAGACTCTCAGCTATAAATTGCATATAACCTTAATACACAAACAGACAGTTTTTAGCTCATCACGATTTTACAATTTTATTATATGTAAAAATGAAATCAATAAAAACATTATTAATTTGTACAGCTTTAGTTTTAATCAGATTAAATTATTTCACTGTAACGATATCGATAAATAATATCGTTGTTTATGTGTAACATCACTTATTATATTCGCGATAGTGATTAACGCTAAACAAAATGAATCGATCGATTATAAATTATATTTATTCGAATTTTAAAATTAGGAGGGAAATATAGATTTATAATGGGACCATATGTAAGTAGGCAATTTCAAAATGTATTACAAGGACTACGTTATAGTTCGCGTGACGTGTTGACCTAACCTCGGACCTGCAAATTAGGTCTTATATATAATGCATGTAGATACAATTTGCAGTATACAGATTGAGTAGCGTGCAAAATTGCAGGCTATTACCTAGATGCCAGGCCGGTTTCGAACGGATGTTTTATTTAATTTTTCTGTACAACTCTTCACGGGTTTTCACTAGAATCTCGTAAAAAACTTCAAATATTCTTTATTGCACTTAAATACATTTGTAAGTATATTAATTAGAACTAATGTTAACAAAGGAGGACTTATCTCTAAAAGAGATCTCTTCCAGTCAACCCAATAGAGCGTGGCGTAGGAAGTGTTGAGTGGGTCAAAATGTGCAAATAATAATTTCATAAAAATGTCATAAACAATTTAAATTTGTTTTTAAATTAAAATTTGTGACAAATCCAAGCATTTGACATTTAAATTTGATACAGCTTCGTAGTAGCAACCACTATTAAAACTCACTCGATATTGGTCTCGGCAAACTATACTCACAGTATCTTCAGGAACACTTTGATAGCAATTTTTGTTTCCATATAATTTAAACATTTTGAAGGTAGGCGAATAAGAAAAAAGCTACCTATAAAAGATTTTATTTACAATCATAGGGGTTCAAACCCTGCCGTATTATCGGGAACTCAATAAAATAAAACGTGATAAGATCTAGTGATTGTTCCTAATTGCAATGGATCCACTTGTAGAAATTGCGTTTGATAGAACTCAAAACCATATACTTTTCATTTATCCATCGAGTAAAACTCTTAAATCGTCGGCAAATCCTGTTGCATAATCACTTTGAAATAACTCTATTTCCTTCATGAGCTAAAGTAACTACTATCAGTAAAGAGAATGACTTTACCATAAAAAATCGTTCATCTGTCATTTGCTTAAATACATTTTAATGGTAGAAAATATGTCTAAACACGGGTCAAACAATGCACTAGCAGGTCTATCTGGAGTTTAATCTCAATAAAGATTTCAATCCAATGCATCACTGTTCACTTAAAACGTAATCAAAATGAAAACAAAGACAATGTCAGTTAGTTCTTTCATCTGCATATTTTGCCAAGCAGAAGAGGTAACTGCACTACACATCCTATAGTTATATATTATAGCCCCAAGCATAATAAGCGAAATATCTCCTTTGGAAAGTACACTCTATCCTGAGGATATAAAAGCCATCGAATATACTTCAATTCTCTCTGTCAAAAGTCTCTGACGAGTCCAGGTAGAGGAGGTCCAGGAGATAAAAACCATCGCTCCTAAGAATATCCTTCAATGCTTGACCTTGACGAGTCTAGGTATTGAACTCAGTACACAAAATGCTGAGGAGATAAAAACCATCGCTCCTAAGAATATCCTTCAATGCTTGACCTTGACGAGTCTAGGTATTGAACTCAGTACACAAAATGCTGAGGAGATAAAAACCATCGCTCCTAAGAATATCCTTCAATGCTTGATACACACCATCGCTCCTAAGAATATCCTTCAATTCTTGTCCCTGACGGAGATCTAGGACCTAGCGAACTCTAAAAAAAACAATCGCTCCTAAGAATATCCGGGACGAGTCGAACACAATAGATCTATGTAGAATATCCTTCAATTCTTGTCGCAGTGCTACAGGTCTTAGCACCTGACAATAGCACAATACCCCCAATTTTATGTTTACTTTGTTAATTGTAGTTTAGAACTTACTGTACTAAGTTGCAATACCGATTTGGACATACTGTAATGGTGTTGTAATATTGAAATAAATAAATAAACTTAATGTGCTATCGTTGTCGTCGATCTCATATTGTTTTATTTTACTGATAAAGGCTATAACAGAATAGCAGAGAGGGTGGACTTATTGCCCCCTCTGAGTTATAGACCGTTTTGTCTCTATTACTTGTAAGTTTTATTATACTAGCTGTTCCCGCGACCTCGTCCGCGTGGAATTACACTTTAGTTTTCTAAAATAAAAGTAGTCTAAGTTACTCCTTATTACATCAGCTACATGCCACTAAAAGTCCTATAAAAAACGAGCCATTTCATAGATTAGCCGGAGCAAACCGACAGATGGACAAATTTGTAAATAGCCTTGGTTTTCCGAAAATAAACAAATTAATAAATAAATAAACATTATTATTATTATTCAATATCATTGGATTGAAATCAATTATCAGAATAAATACCCACTTTCACCTGATAAAACAACTGCACCGACAAAAGTCGCCACTAACAATCGCTCGTCTATCGTATACCTTACCACGTTGAAGACCGCATTGAAACATCTTATTTCTCACAGAGGGACCGGCATTTTTTTAATGTTAACTAGCCGTGCACGCGACTTCGTCCGCGTGGAATTTAACTTTAGTTTTCTAAAATAAAAGTAGCCTAAGTTACTCCTTATTACATCAGCTACCTGCCTTTAAAAGTCCCGTCAAAATCGAGCCATTTCAGACATTAGCCGGAACCAACAGAGAGACAGACAAAAATTGTAATAAATGTTATTTTGGTGTATGTACCATATTTATATTCATATGCATGTACATAGTAAGAACGGTTATTTCAATATTACAAACAGACACTCCAATTTTATTTACATGTATAGATAACATATATTATTTTACAAACATGTTTTTAGTGTACAATAATTTGAGGTAGACATTATTTAATTAAGTTGATCGCCCGTGGGCACTTTAATTGAAATAAATCTAGGGGGATTTATTTCAATTAAAGTGCCCACGGGTGATCCGGTCCCAGCGTGTTTTACATTGCGAACTGTCCCACCGGTGGGCATGCGGTCTTTGACGTGTAAATTATGGATGTGTTTATTAAAACGATTATTACCTTACATCCGCAGCTCGGACGATATATTGCTACGAATGCGACAGCTGGACGGATTTCCGGTGTAAGGATCCGTTCAACTACACAGCACTGCCTCGGGACCAGCCGCCGTTGCAGACTTGCAACGGGTGCTGCGTGAAGATGGTCCGGTATTCAAAGAGTCGTAAGTAATTTATGTCTAAGATGGGATAGTCAGAGGTCAAGTTATCATGGTATGTGTTTAGGAACGAGGATAATATTTTAAGAAAGATGTTATAAGGGCAGAGGAAGGCCAAAAAAGAGATGGATGGACTGTGTGAAAGATGATATGGTAAGAAAGGAAGTACATAACGCGATGACTGCGAACAGGGATGAATGGAAGCGAAAAACATATTACGCCGACCCCAAATAAATGGGATAAGGAAGAAGCAGATGAAGCAGATGAAGATGGGATAGTCAGAGGTTGTTAAGGTTTGTGTTTAATAGTATTGTTTGAATGCAGTGCCAATAGATGGCGCTGTAACAAAATTGAAACGCGCTAACGTTTTGTTTTATAGAAAAATATATGTATTTAATTTTGCCCACCCCGACCACACTTTTACACACTCACACAACACCGTCCTCGCCGGCGAAGACGATGACCTCACACACATATCGTGCATTCAGGCGGCGGTCGCCCCTCCGATCGATCCCCCGTCCAATTCATCGGAGATCGATGTTACGACGGCCTGAGCCGAGGTTCGAACCCCTAGTGGTGCACTCAGACTAAAGTCGTATCCGTCAGGCGGGAGTTGGCCTTCAGCCGCTCTATAAGTCCTTCCGGTTTGGAGTGCCATCTGCACTCGCCCCCAATCGTCCGGTGAAGCTGTAAAGGCCAGCAGCGGCCAATAGCAAAACAAATTTTGTACCTGTACCTGTATTTGAAACTGATCAATAAACCTTTATATACACGAGTGTGGTGTTTTGGTTTATACCCTTTAGTTTAGTTTCGTTAGTACCCTTAGGACCTTGTGGTTTTGACAGAGGTATTTTTAGAGGATAATAATGGAATGGAGCACCCGCCTGCGCTAACGGTTTACGCTGGCGGGGCATCAGTGGAGGATGATAAGATAAACATGAGGTCAGGTCAGTTAGCACATCGTGACAAATTCATCAAGAATTTATCACGATGGTTTCCAGGCGGAACCGCGTGGACATCAACGTGACATGGTACATTCCTACCAATAAGATTATTAGTCCATTGTCACAAACTTTTGCGTTTATAATATTACTAGCTATCCACCCCGGCTTCGCACGGGTATATATGTATTATACATATATATCTTCCTCTAGAATCACTATCTCTTTAATAAATCCGCTTCAAAATCCATTGCGTATATATATTACACTAGCTGTCCCGGCAAACGTTGTTCTGCCTTAAAATAAAAATAAAAAATTTTGGGGTGGACTACCCCTAACATTTAGGGGGATGAAAAATAGATGTTGGCCGATTCTCAGACCTACTCAATACGCTCACAAAATTTCATGAGAATCGGTCAAGCCGTTACGGAGGAGTATGGGAACGAAAACTGTGACACGAGAATTTTATATATAAGATTATATAATTTAACATATTTATATATAATAAGGTTTTTTTTGTGTTATTCCAGCGTACGAGGTGGTACGTCGAACGTGTACGTCTCAGCTACAAATAAATCTATTCATGGTGGACCACGTTTGCATGATGGAAAGTACAGGGACGGGCCATATGTGTTTCTGTGAAGAGGACATGTGCAATACGGCATCCGCAGTCGACGCAACGATAGCCACGATCGCAGCACTAGTCTTGATCGCATGTGCATGCTGCAGGTGAAGTAGGAAGGTAGTGGACGCCGGCTGAGTCAGTCGATCGATTCTATATTTGAATCGAGTTTACAATCGATCCACGAATCGATGTATTGGTTGTGTTTATATGAATATGATCGAATCGATCCGTATTTTAAATAGTGGGAATAAGTTTTTACAATACATAAGCTTTCAATTTTTAAATAAACTAATTGACAATGATGAAAGTTGAAAGTTTCTGTATATGTTACATTTTTTATTTACAATCGATAATCACATCGAACGACTGGCTGAATCGGGTTACAACCCTAGTTAAAACTTACTCTTCGTCCAACGTAGCTAAGTAGATTAGTATCGTTGCTTAGTTTTTACAACACTTGCCAATCGCTAATTCACTTTATAATAAAAATAATTAAGTAACTATGCTTAATCTATAAAAAGTATAAATATAAGATTTTTTATTTAACAAAATCATAGACGATCGCTAAGATTTCTTCCGATTAAATTTAATTGTTCACTTAAGTAATTATAAATAAAAATGGCCGAAACAGTGTTGTAAAGCTAAGCTCAGTTTTTTCATCTAAGCAAATTTCTCATGTTCAGCATTTTTTGCTCTAAATAATTATTAAGAGATCGTGTAATAAATTAGTGAATAGATTTACGCAAAAGGTTTTCCAATATAGAATTTAGCGTGTAAATATTGCTCAGTCACATAGTGATGCGAAGTTCAAGGTATCGATATCGATAAATATGCGAAGTTTTCTCCCGCGACGCTTGATTGGTCCAATTTTGACCATATGGTATTGCTCATAGGTGCACTTTATATAGACGTGTGGCACTTTTTAGATAGAGAATAAAAAAAGAGAATTGTGGAATGATGACTAGCGTGAACTGCCCTAAAATATAGAATGGATAAATTAACTAAATCTAGCTGTTAGGTGCTTAAATTACGGATACGGATATCATAAATTCAGTTATTTTATAACTAACGACGTAATAAAGAAGATATTCAACATGTCGATTGAATAAGAAGGTTTCAGTTTGAATATCGTGTCAGTTTATTGGGAATGAAATAATAAATTATATATAACGTTAAACATATATGAAATTTGTTTGAAAAACTAATATAAAATTTAATTACTTTAATATTGAAGGTTTTCATGTGTTCACAAAAAATTCCAGAGAGTACAAGTATAAGAATAAACGTTAGGACTTAATTCTGCATGTAATTTTTTAATAACAAAAAGATTTGCGTGTTTTCTGGTGTGGTTTGGCTTTTGAATGATTTAGTTATAAGTATAGTCGAGTCGAAGAAAGTAAATGCTAGTTACTAGACGCTACATATGAAGAGACCTCGTAATATTAAGTATAGTGTAAAATAATTTATGAAAGATAAACACCAAATAAATTTTAATCGTTAATGTATAATAATATTTTAATTGTTAAGTTTTCCGCTTAGAGTTTGATATAAAATTAGTATTAATTACAATTACGCTGGTATGAATCACAATTCATGAATATGGTATGATTAAGGCTAAATTAGTGATCGTTTGCGTTACCTAATTCATATCATTTTAGATATTAATGACCAGATTAAAATTACAGATATACATATAGGTTATAAACGTTCAAATTTGTCAATCTATTTCCAATTAAAATGAAACCGTCTTTAACAAAATAAACATGATGTAATCCATGCGTTAAACAATTACGATGAATTCCAAATTCCCAATAAAAATTTTGGGACATTTGTCAATCTATTTCCAATTAAAATCAATCAGTCTTTAACAAAATAAACATGATGTAATCCATGCGTTAAACAATTACGATGAATTCCAAATTCCCAATAAAAATTTTGGGACATTTGTCAATCTATTTCCAATTAAAATTAAACCATCTTTAACAAAATAAACATAATTTAATCTATGCATAATTAATATGAACCTAAAACTGTTAGGTTCAATTTGAAATTCCCAACAAAAATTTTGGGAACCGCCACTGCGTTTTCCCCAGCCGGTCTTATACTTTACATATGTATTGCACACATCGCAGTGCCTGTATATTTGGACCAAGATCTTGTTTATTGTATTTAGCGAAAAATACATAATACATACACTATTAGAGCTTAAAACCATTAAAATCGAATTGTGAAACCACAACAGCGTAAGCAAAGGCAAGCTGTATTTCATATTAATAGAGAAATAAATAATAGAAATGACTGCGAAAATAATGTACATACTAGACGTGTTTAACTCAATTATAATTGTCCATTTGGATTTACTATCCTTGCTTCTCTTAAACCTATTCTAAACACTTGCTTCGGGACATTTGTCTTCCAGCTTAAAATCTCAGATATGTCAAGCTTAGTCCTTAGTGAAGGCAAACTGAGAGATGCCATGGATCTGAAAGTATATTCTAGTAGCACTGCTTGCTGTATATAGGCTATGTTTGATTTCAATCAGATGGGCCGTCAGTTTCTTTATCATTTTAATTTCTGAAAGATCTCTCTCTCTCTCTTAAACTTCTTCCTCTGCCCTCATCCTCAGCTACTTCCTCATCACATCTTGTTCTTAAATCACCGATTTCTTTCTAATCATCATCATTCTGATGATTATTAGCATGATAAATTCCCAGTTATATAATTGAGTTAATCTACGTATTAAGGTTTTTTTATTGGGTTGTTTGGGCTAGTCAGGTATCTGTAGCACCTGTAACACTGCGACCTACATAGATTTATCGTACTCGCCCTTTTACAGAGCTCGCTACCTAGACCCAGTCAAGAATTGAAGGATATTCTTAGGAGCGATTGTTTTTATCCCCTCGGGAAAGAGTGTAAACTTTCCAAAGGAGATATTTCGAGTATTAAGGTTTATTTTTGTCTTTCTACCATAGTGCTTCGTGCAGCACCGATAACCGAGCCAATGCATTATAATCAAAGATAATATAGAAAGAATCGAGTGCAAAGCGGTATAGTAATATTTGTAATATAATAAAATATATATATGTAGATATATCCATAAATTAGATTATAAACTTCCTAATTATTGTTACTTATTAGGTAAATTAAATTTACGTACTTTTTTAAAAAATAAATTACAATAAGTTAATCGGATATTTAAATATTGACACAACAATGTATAAATGTGAAATTAATGTTTCGTTTATTTACATTTTAACAAAAGTGAGCGTGATTAAATGGCTTCGTATCGTGGCCATCTTTATGATCAAACATCAAATGTTTCGATTAATTGGATGATTATTTATGATTAACAATAGTTATTCAATTTTAACTTCAGTTGATTAAAAAAATATATAATATTTGTGACAATATAATATCGATTCAAAATAAAGTTCCACATCACTAGTGTAGTGCTGTTCCGTTCCGATGGACATAACCGTTTTTTATCGATATGTTGCGGGACTAAACTACGTTTTCAATACTCGGTTACAATACGTTAAATATACATATATTAACAATATATATATCAACCAGTACCGGATTAAGGCAACGAGGGGTCTGTAGCAAATTATTTCAAGGTTCTCTCGATTTATATTCTAGAGGTTTCTAGCCCTGGGAGAGGAAGAAATTATTAGGTATCTATCAGGCAATAATTTAAAAAATATAGTGGAAATAGGTGCAAAATTAATAGAGATATTAGGGCTCATCTATAAATTATGTCATACTTTAATGGGGGTTCACGAAAGTGTGACAACATGACAAAAGGGTAGGAATATTCTCAAATCTCGTGTCATGAAAACGATTTCGTCTCTACCCTCCTAGGAGGGGTCTTGGATTTTGTGACATAACAATTAGTTGTCACACTTTAAGAAGAGCCTCCTCTTACAGTCGATAAATGTGACATCATCGATTAAAAATCATGAAAACGTATCCCTTTTCACCCTCCTATTCATAAACTTCGTGTAAAAATCATGAATTCTCCTCCGCTCTCTTCGACAGGTCTTAATTTGTCACATAACAATTAATAGTCACATTTTAAGAGGAGCCTCACAGTCGATAAATGTGACAACATGACTAAGGGGTACGAAGAGTCACGTCTTCGATTAAAAATCATGAAAACATATCCATTTTCACCCTCCTAGGAGGGGTCTTGGATTTTGTGACATAACAATTAGTTGTCACACTTTAAGTGAAAGGTTGTCGATAAAGTGTGACAATATGACGTAAGGGTAGGAGAATTCATAAACTTCGTGTAAAAATCATGAATTCTCCTCCGCTCTCTTCGACAGGTCTTAATTTGTCACATAACAATTAATAGTCACATTTTAAGAGGAGAGTTATCGATAAAGTGTGACAATATAATATGGTAGAAGGATTCACGAAGTTCGTGTGAAACTGATGAGAACGGTACCTTCTCTACTCTGCTAGGAGGGGTCTTAAATTTTGTCACATAATAATTAGTTGTCACACTTTAAAAGGAGGGGGTGGGAGTCGACAAAGTGTGACAATATAAAAAATACACAGACTTCGTGTTAAATTCATTAAAAAGGATACTCCTGTAAACTCCTAGTAAGGTTCTTATATTTCGTAACATGTCATTTCAATAATATTATTAAAAACACGAAATTGAAACTATTACAATGTGACCAACTGTGACGATGGGGGATTACTGTGACGTAATTTATGGATGTTCCCTAAAGTGATAAACAATAAAAAATCAACTATTCAATTACATATGTTCTTTTATTAAGTCGGTTAAAAAGGGACGGAAATATACGCCCATCGCATGCGTTAAATCATATGCAATATTGTTATATAAGAGGCATGATGCACTGTAGTGGGCTTCCCACCAAACGAGACACAGCTGAGAGAAATATTGAATCCAACACGTTATGGGCCCATATTGAATTGTAAAAAACACTCAATATACATATACCTGGAAATTCCGTAACATAACCTTTTAAAAAAAAGAACTCTTCATTCATATATGTATATAAGTTTTCCGTTGCATAATTAAAAAAAAAACTTTTTTTTTACTTTTTAATATGGATCCCAATATTAAGGCAGCCTTAGGACGATCTGATTTAATAATTAAAGGTAGGAATAACCTCCCGGGGTGGGTATACCGTAAACAGTGTTTTGAGGCTGTCTTTAAAATTAATAATGTATAAGGACATATATATTGAGATAGCTGTTTGTTTTAATTCAAATTCAGGGTTAATAAAGGGTATATTAAGCTTACAATTTAGTAAATATACTGATAAAACTACATTCACTGAAAAATAATAGTAAAAGCGCAGTTTATTGTAATTTTGTTGTAATTTTAGAACTTATTTTCAATTCAGTAATTTGAAATAAAAATATATTAATTTGAAAGAAAAGAAAGAGAAATATATTTATTTGGCACATACAAAACGTTCATATCAAACATATAACAAGTAAATAGCATGCATTTATCCTGAGCCGTAAAATATTAACAAATAAAAAAATAAACCGAATAACAATAATCAAAGCCAGAAGAAAAAAATCTGAGTATTAAACATATGTCATCCGTGACATAATGCCGTGAAAATAATATTCATTTTGATTCTTGTAAAACGCTGTGAGAATAGTCTTAATTACAACGGCTGTATGGGCTGAGTCCTTTTGCCTTTTCCTTTAAAGAAAAAAATTAAGGCGTTTTTTTTGTCGGCTGAATGGGCTGAATTCTTTTGCCTTTCCCTTTAAAGAAACAAAATTAAGGCGCGTTTTTTGTCATTTTAAATTATTTATCGTGAATACTTGATTTCGGCTTAGTACACCCTTTAAAACAACCCTATAGAATTGATGAGATATATTGATGGATAATATCCAATATCTTTTGCCTTATTTTATTAAAAAAAATAATCGGAGACGTAAAGATGGCGTCACAAACAATTGCGTTTCGATTTAAAATATCATATCACACACCTAGAGCAACATTAACTAAAAAATTACAAATTTTTGAGTTTAAACTTTAATGTTAAAACTTTAAAGTGCATTTTTCAAAGTTTGTAATTTTTTAGTTAATCCAATATCAACTAGGTGTGTATTATCACAGCTAACTCAAAAATATATCTAGTTATTTGAATATATTAAACGCTGTTGATATATCATAAGTAAATACCATTTACTTTAATCGCTTTAATTTAAATTATAGAAGATAAGAATGCGATGTAGTGTTGGAATACATTTTTAAAAGCATAGACTAAAAATAAGAATTGTCATTTATTGATGTATAACATCTTATCTCTCGCTTTAACACTCCTATCGATCTGCTGTCCCGTTCTAACAAGTCTGTGCCAAAGTTCAAACATAATTTGGCCCTCAGACTAAAGTCATATCACTCACACAGAAGTTTGCTTTGGTTTGGAGTGCTCTGTGCATTCGCCTGTTGTTGTCAACAGCATTAGAATAGTTTAAGAAAATTTTGTATTTAAATTTGAAAATGCTATGATCTGTGGGAATGACTTCCTGACAAGCGACGATAGAGTGCAACAGCAAGTCTGAGAATCGCGCGTAATTTGATGTGACCAATGAGCGCGTGGTAGAGTTTACTGTCAGTTGGTACCGACCCATTATCTGACAGTTGGTACTCAGATGTTACACATCATATATGGCTATTGTAAAACGCTATGAGAATAGTCTTGATTACAATGGCTGTACGGGCTGAGTCCTTTTGCCTTTCCCTTTAAAGGGGGGAAAAAAAGAAAAAAAATATGGCGCCTTTTTTGTCAATGAGATTTTTTTTCTTTAAATAGAAATGTATTTCAGCACATATTTATTCAAAAATGAATAATAAATTTTTCTTCACTTTCTAATATTGCATATCACGCGCATATTCAGTATGAATAGCTGTTCTGATATTATTAGTCAATTATAAAAAAAATACCACGAAATGAAACTCACTTTTTTATATACACTGAGTTTATTAGAGCGAAACTCAGCTGATAGTCAGAGATACAGAAAGAAAAATAAGGCTTATATGGTATCTTTACATAAAACACTATTTATGAAACAAAATTGAGCTAGTAATATCTGAAAATGTTACCAGACAAATAAATCTAAAAAAAACTCTAAACTCATTAAACATCTCAATATTTACTGGTATAAATCAACTAAAAAAACTCAGCATAGTAAATAAACTCAATGTAACAAAAAACTCAGTGTATTTCTAAAGTGGTTGTTTTATGTGGTGTATAGAGAAACTTTTAACATATCTATACGGTTATCGGCTTATTTGTGGGTTACAATGCACCCATTGGGTTCGACCCTACAAGCATGTACCTTACATTTTTTTAAAAATAAATTGGGTAAAATTTGTCATCAAATTTAGCAATAATTTTCTTTAATTATTAAAAAGAAATGTTATAATATTTTATAATTATTAATAATGACATTGTTTTACCCAAAGAAAATAGTATTTGACTAACAAAAATATGCACATTTGATTTCTTGTTACACTAATCAGCTAAATGCTTCGCGACTGATACTGAGATTATTGTTATCTCGTTGAGTCACTGTCGGCTGCCTCCGAACCCTGTTGAGGCCACGAAACCAGCGAGCGACGACTTAGGAGCGATTCCTTTTACTCATCAAATCGCTCCTAAAACCATTATCATTCATTCATAATTCAAGAGCGACGCTCTTGTCGTTGGAGCTCTTGCCATTTTGCACGATCTACCATACATATACTCTTTAAACCTTGATACTTTTGTCTTTAATTTGCTTGTAATTTAAATATCACATATATATCGCGGGTTCGATTTCTCGCGCGGTGCAAACATTTGTATTCATAAGTATGATTGTTTGTATTCGTCTGGATGTTATCTATATATATTTAAGTATTTATAGCAGTTGTCTAATAGCCATAACATAAGCTCTGCTTAAGGTGGGACTAGATAGCACTGTGTTATATGTTCAGGGTTGTATATTTATTTATTTAAATTTATTGC